CTGGGTGTTGCCCTCAAAGGGGTTTGCCTTCCATCTCTGGAAGAATGAGCAGTGGATGGTCGACTTGATGAGCTGGAGGGTCGAGCAGCTGTCAATAACAAAAAAAGAGAGCCTACGTCAGTATATTAAACAGACTTCTATGCATTTCTATCACTGATGCCAAGAAACATCCACATCAAAATTGCCATATGATTGTTCCAATCAAGGTAACAGAAAGGCTTATTGAATGAAAAATACAGTTTTGTTGGATCTTGTAATGCACATACATCTACCATTACTATTAAATGTATGGGCGTAGATTTTAAAACAATGTGGTTGGAATCGGGAAAGCGATAAATTCAGTGTTGAACCTACCTGCATTGTCAAACACATATTCCACTATATCAGACTCCTTGTCACTCAAAATGTTTGATGGATTCCTAGGAAGTGTAGATTGATGGATTGTAAAGTTTAATTCAAATTGCCGACTTAAATTGAGTTGGGTCAAATCATAATAAATAAGTTATGTCAAACAAAATGGATCCTTCTGTTTCTATAGTTGTGAAAAGGTCAAGTTTTTGTTCTGCCTTGTGTGTTTTTTCTAGTATGGAAAATTGTTTTAACAAATGTAGAAATATCTGTCACAGGTAGTTATCTATAGATAATCGGCAGGTTCAAGTAAGTAAAGAAATCAACTTCAAATAATTTTATATTTATATACTAATTCCTTAAAGACTATTCACTTTAAATTTGGCTTTGATAACAAGTTTTGATCAATAGATGATTAACAAGGAAGTGCAGTATTGAAAAATCTTGGCAAGTTTACAACTTCTTTACAAACTTACAAATATTTTCAGACAGGGAGCTAATGGATAGTTGTATCTATTACGCAGTATAACGTGTTAAACTTGAGAAATCTGTGCTACAATCAAAGCACATCTTTGTTCTAACAAAGAAAAACTGATACTTACTACATGAAACTCATTATACAATCTATAATTTGTACAATGTACCTTCCTTCCTTCTTTGCTTTCTGCTGCAACATTTCCACAAACATTTTAATCTCTTTTTTAAGATTTTCTCTTATCATTGGAGGCTCGGGAAGTCTATGTAAATGTCTTTGCAGGGCTTTCTCTGTCAAATAAACACAGTATACTCATCAAAAGTATTACAGTACATGAACAAAACAACTTCAGCTAGTGGCAAGAAATTAATTGGCTGAAAATTAGTGCCTATTTCAGTGCAAGGTTGTGACACCAGTACAATGTTGTAACAGAAATGCTAATTACAAATAGCCAATGCCCTGTCAAAATTTGTCTGTCTTCACTTTCTGTAGTGCTTTTGTCATGTAAATTATTAACATGTAACAACATGATTGCAAATGCAATTTGACACAAATAAGCACTTGTTAACTTTTCAAAGACTACAGGCTTGTGCAATTTTTGTTACCTTTTGAAAAATTTACTTCTGTTGGTTAACACCAAATTACACTTGAAATCATGTTATTACCCATAGATGCTAATTCACAACCAATTACCTGCAGCTTTGTTAATCTATCTGCAGGTAATAGAGGGGTGTGGGTTGTATGACTAGTCTAAAAGTACCAATTCTAGTTACAATTCTTTTACAGTGATTACTGGCTTGATACAATTGCTCCTTAAAATATACTTCCTTCAAGACAATTGTAGAATTGGCGCTCAACTTTACGAATAAGTTTTATGGCATAACAATCAACAGAAAGAATGTGACAAAGCTGCACAAAAACATGATGCCCACCTGAGTTCATTTCAAGTCCCACATACATGTAATTTGTGTTGGCATGCTTGTAACCAAAACCCAGTAATTAAAAATAACAACTAAAACAAACAAGAGAAAAAACCTCTCTCTTCTTTCTCTGTTTCTTCCCTGTAGTCTTGCCAGATTTCAAGAAGGATGGATGCCTAAAGCAAAAGATTAACATTTCATTCTTGAATCAATTAACTAGTACATTTAGTAATTACTGGGAGTTAATTAAATTTTTTTGTTTTCTGTAACTTCTATTATCTTCTGTAGTAATAATTAGAGAAAAGTGATGGTTCTAATGAGAAATGGTATCCCTGAACTCGATGGTGAGGTTAGATGTAGCCTCTCTCTTTAATTTTTGCCCAAAGGGGTCTTTGCCATCAAAAATCTACAAAACACTGACACATTTACCATGCAGCTACAAAAAGTACTCACTTCCTAGTATAGAAATCAACAGTGGTATTTGTCACTGTTTTTAAGAAAATTGTGATGTACTGTAGAGAGGTTTCAAGTAAATGAGGACAGTTTACAAATTTGAGTGTGTCTTATTACATAAAACTACAATAAGTATGTCAGTAGGATAAACTATTTCATGCCAGGATTGAAAATTACCCAAAACAGTCCAAAGAAAATGTAGAGTAAAGAACTTGTGTCAATGCATCTGTTAACTTAAATGGTTTGCTAATAGAGAAACCACCAGTGGCAAAAATAAGTGGTCCCCGTCTTCAGTAGAAGCTCTTTACTATGTTCTTTCCCCCCCTCTTGGAAACAAAGTATTTCGCTAAAACTTTTCTAGAATGGTTTTCATATCCTTTGAAGACTCAAAATACTGAAAATTCATCTTTTTTATATGTACTTACGCTTAATCATCGTTACTGTAGTCTAGCTGCCAAATGTACATGTAGGTAGATTTCACTATTGCACAACCATTATCAATATATATAAAGCAATAACAAACAACGAAATAGGAGGGTGATTATCGATTTTAATTGATTTTTTAAATAAATCAATAATCATTAAGATATCTATATTGATTTTTATTGAATTCATTATTTATGTCTATGGCTGATCGATCGTTAATGATGTTCTTTGGCATAAACGTCAAAATATTGTTAAATAATTCACATCAATATAATTGACCTCATTGTGTAAATCCAAGGTTTCGTCCACCAGATCTTCTCCCAAAGCTTCTTTGATCTCGATTCGTTCACTTTCGGGGACGTATTCCTCAATAAATTTCCATAAGGACGGTCTGCTTTCGAATGCCTCAAGTCGCCATTCCATGGAAGTTGAGCGATCTGCACACAT